ATATCAGAAACCAATATGATTTGATTAATGGAAATGATGTTAAAGAAGATGCATTACCACTTACTTTGCAGCTGTACCCTCAGAAACATGGAGTCATTCTATGTGACTTTCAGAGCTGAATGAATAAATATAAAAATAAATATATGTTCTGCTACCAAAATGGAAGCCTTGTGAGAGCCAGGTCTGTCTTGCTTTTCTCTTTGTATTCCTAGTGCTTGGCTCACTTAATAAATGTTTTTCATTCATACATACATATTCATTTATTTATTCATTCATTCTGATGCCAAATTCAGTGTTCTTTCCACTACATAACATTGTTTCTCATAACAAAGTTCACCAACCAGAGTAAGAGGCAGAGCCAGAATTCATCAGGATCAACAGGGGGCATAATCAGCACTTAAAAAAATACTAATACCTCATTTAATTATATGCCATATCTATATATCTTATCTATACCCAGGCTAATCATTTAGCAAGAGCAGCGGATAACTGATGGATGGCACACATAGTACACCAGGATGTATGTGAACATTAAGAGAACTACAAGAAGGTTCTGAGCTCACTGGATGGGTCCTTTTTGGTGGTTTTATGAGAGGACATGGATAAAAGTCACATAGGATGAGCATCTTTGGAGAGATAACAGGTTCAATGATATCTTAGTAATAAATACCTAATTATCATATCGAACAGAACTGACACGTTATTTATACATTTCACGGATTTAGAACTGGAACATCAGAAGTCATTTAGTCCAACCCCCTCATGTGAGGAAACGGAGACCCGGAGAAGACTCGTGCAGTGGTTGAGTCAGAATTTGAATCCAAGTCCTTCAGCAACAAATACAACATTTGCTCCATTGCAGTTTGGGTGTGAGCTAAGTATCTTTTTAAAAAGCTAACCTCCACCTTCCCTTATGACATCAACACTGTTTGGAACGGCTAGGGCTTTTTTGTTTCTTTCTTATACACTTGCTTCAAGCACTATACATGTAAAAAGCTATGTGCAGTCCTAGAAGCCAGACTGCTGACCCTTGGTATGGGATGTGAGATAAATACTCCTTAAGTAACTACTACTACTTACTGAGTTTCCTATTCTTACCCAAACTCATGATTCAATCATTCAGCAAAAATTTGTTAAATGTTCAATCTGTGCTTGCCTGTCCTGTTAAAAAGCTTCCCTAAATTCCCAATTGGCAATTAACATCTCTATTTTTTATGTAATCCAAGACCGAAAGGACTCTTCTCATTGTTGGAGATCTGATGCTTTGCACTTGCATGAGGGGCAAGGCAGGGCAGAGTTGTTGAGAATGGGAGAGAGGAGAGCGCCAGTGTCTTCAGGTCTGTAGTCTATTCCCTCCAGCACTTCTGGCTTCCTTGGAGAGGGAAGATGTGCCTGCTGAATCCCATTTGAGATTGCTAAGGGAAAAGACTCTAGGAAGAAGTCTTTTCCTTCAGCAACTTGAAGTGGGGTTTGGCATCATCTATCTGTTTCAGGTTAGTACCAAGAAAGCTTTTCAACTCTAGTCCTATCTCCTGGTCTCTACCATTTTCAGAGATCTTCTGATTCAGGGGTGGGAAACCTGTGGCCTTGAGGTCACATGTGGCCCTCTAGGTCCTCAAGTGCAGTCCTTTGACTGAATCCAAACTTTGTGAAGGACCTGAGAACCTAGAGGTTCTCCACTCTTGAATTCATGCCTCTGCCTCCAGCCAGGTCTATGTCTAATCTTGCCTCCAAAAGATATTGGTTTTTTTTTAAATCATCAGATATGATTTCAAATCTTCCTTGTAATTTGTCTTAAATTTTCCAGTGCTCTGAACACCAACATGAATAAATGTTTGTGGAATTGCTTCAAACATCCCCCTGTCCTGACTCTAGTGGAAATGGAGTGCTTTATGATCCCAGAATCATAGACTGAGCAGGATGGGACCTTAAGAGATCTTCTAGTTCAACTCCTTTATTTTACAGATGAGGAAAATGAGTCCCAGAGAAGTTATGATTTACTCAAGGACACACAACTAGACAGTAGCAATCCAGTTCATTCTCCCTTTGTAGACTGAAGGACTTCTATTCCATTCTCATCTCAGTTTTCTGTAAACCAGTACCATAAGCAGTCCCTCAAAGATCTGGTCAACCCTTTCATCATTTGCTGATGCTCTTTTTTGTGCCTTAAATTCTCTATATATACCTAAGTTAGTGGACTCCTGCTGTGATGCTATTTTTAGGTAGATTAAATAAAGTTTCAGGTCCTGAGGCAGAAAAAATTACAAATTGCATGGGATAATGTACAGGAGACATTAAACGGTATCAAACTTCATTGGATCCAACTGCCTTCTCAGGTATAACATGTAAGGTGGGGCAATTGGAGTTCCTACATAAATGAGGGCCATTGCCCTGTCTTTTGCCTTTGAAAGATCATTGAATTTGGCAGTCTAAAGAGCTGGGTTGGAATCCCTGTTCTACTAATTATTAGCTGTGTGATTTTGGGCAAATGACTTAACAACTCTAGACTTCCTTTCTTCATCTCTGGTTTTTTTTGTTTTTTTTTTCTTTTTTAGGCAATTGGGGTTAAGTGACTTGCCCAGGGTCACACAGCTAATAAGTGTCAAGTGTTTGGACTGAGGCCAGATTTGAGCTCAGGTTCTCCTGACTTCAGAGCCGGTGTTCTATCCACTGCGCCACCTAGCTGCCCCTCCTTTCTTCATCTCTGAAATAGGGTAATTAAGCTTGACTTGCCCACCTCAAAAGACTGTTATAAGGATCAGGTGGGATAAACTATTATCATTACTGGCCTCATCAAACTCTGTTACAATCCCCAAATCTTTATTTTCAGGACCCTTCCCTTCTAGATCTACAGCTGCCTTTAGGATATCTCTACCAGCATCTCAAACATCCCTAATGGCTTATTTCATTTCCCACTAAAGCTGTTCCTCCTCCTAATTATACTATTTCTATACTATAAATATACCACTAGTCACCCAGACTCTCTTATCTACAAAATTGGGGTTATTTTCGACTTCCTTCTTTCTTACCACCAGTATCCAATCGACTATCAAGGACAACTTGTAACATCTCCCATATTCATCTATATCTCTGTTCCCACTGCCAGCTCCTTAGTGTAGGCCTTCATTGTACCACTCGCCTAGACTTATTAAGAGCCCCTTGAGAGCTCTACCATTCTTCACTTTCTCCTGCTTCCTTCTGGAATAATTTATCTCATGTATATATCTGGCTATGCTATTCCTTTGCTCACAAACTGCTATTTAACTAGGAAGGGGTTTGCATTTGCATGACCAGGTTAAAAACGAAGTGGATGTGTGTCTGGACTGCTGTGGTTGCACAGAATGTTGACGGCTGTAAGCTAAAGTGTGAGGCCTGTCCTTTGGGGAGGAAGGGGCTGACGTGATGAATGACTTGGACTTTAAAAAACAAAAGTATTATCTGCTACTACCAAGTTCCAAATGGTTCAGTTCATTTGTTTCCTTCTGGTGATAAGATGCTCATCTAACAGCAGTGTGCTGATTGTAAGCATAGAAAAAGAACCTGGTTTCATTGTTTGAAGAATTTAATTTTCCAGAGGCCTCATCATGTACCATCATGATGTCATACCAAATAAGACCAGGCCAGCAAACAACTTCAACAGATTATTAGTGAGAAGACCAACTAGGTGGCGTGGGAAGGCTGGGTTTGCAGCCAAAAACTTGACTTTTAGCCCTGCCTCAGTAAGTCACTTAATTTCTTTTAGCTTGTTTCCCCATCTGCAAAATGGATGTAATAACAGCACTTCTCTCCCAGGGATGTTGCCAGGATCAAATGAGATAAAACATGTAAAGTGATTTGTAAACCTTAATGTAAATGCATGCTGTTGTTACATATGCAAGGTAACAGGGTGAGTACAGATAATTTAGATAGATAATTTAGAATAGTTACTTTAGAACTCAAAATGTTGGTGGGAAAACTGGTTTGAGCGCTAAGATTCTGGTGCCTATTTCCAGATTTGTTCTCTGCCAAAAGTTTTTCTTCCTAATTATAGGTATATATGCAATAAGTAGCCATTCCTATGTTCTCCTTCCTCACTTACAGCCAAATTCCCACACCCCAATCTCAAACCTAAAGCATATAAAAAAGTGGAAGATTGATGCCATGGAGTATATTAAATATTATGTTCTTAATACTCCATTTCAGAAACTTGTAAAATGTTCTAGACCTACTTCAAGAGTTCATAAATATGCATGCATGTAGGCATTGTTCCGGAGACAGTCTGTGGGTAGCGTTAGCTGAAAACATTATTACCCAACAGTTAGGTACCTTAAGAAAATTTGCCTGCATAGGACTGCATGTCATAGACCTCCAGCCTCTGGGCTGTGGTGATACAGTGGGAAAAGAGTCAGAAGACCTGGGTTTGACTACTGGCCCTGCTTACTACTGGTTCTCATTTTGGCCAGGTCATAAGCTCTCTAGGCCTCAGTTTCCTCATCTATTAAAAGTGGGGCCTGGATGTTTGGGGCTCATCCTGCTTTAAATCCAATGATTTTATGACTCCTCAGGAGAAAAACTGGCACTGAATGGGGCTGCTTCAACAATTCCGAATAGGTTTTCTGGCCTAATGGCAAACAGCAAGTCTTAGCACTCACTCTGAACTCTCTTCCAGCCAAGGACCGCCATGCTAGGCCTGCTCACTGAGATTACATTCAGCCCTAATGTGCACTCAACCCCTCTGCCTCTCCTACTGGGTGTCCCACTTTGTAGTTTCAAAAGAAAATGAGACTTCTCCAACAAAACTCAAGGAAAAAGTGCCTCTCCGTCCCATAAGCCTAAAGATCATTTGTATTCAGCTTCATATGGGGCTCTTTTGACTCCTATCAGTGACTTACAGATTCTTTAGAAGTGGGCAACACACAGACCAAATCTGGAAAACAAATAATGAGAATATAGGAGTAGCTTTTTACATTCCTGTTTGTTTGATTTTTTTTTTATTTTTCTTTAGAAAAAAAAAAACACGGGGGGGCGGAATTTACATGGCAAACCATCAGTATTGGGTATCAAAGTAAGAATGAGAATGAATGGAAAATTAATAAAAAGCAGACCACAGGGAAGAGTCCAAGAGGTTCACGCCCAGGATCCTTAGGCATCCCGATACTATCTATGCCAGGTTTCCCAGGCTGCCTTCTCTAAAATGGATGGTCACAGAAAGTTGGCCACTCTCTAGAAATGTGCCAACAACAATGAAAGTACTTGACAGAAATACAACACTTAATACAGTTCCTCTGTTTTATGCACAGGCTATTTATATTTAACTTTTTCTTTCATAAGAAGAAAAAGTCCAATGGAGTGTGAGAGTCACCACTGTAATTACAATTGAACACCAGAGTAAGGAACTCTAGGCAGCTGGAAAGCCTGGATGTAGGACATGATCTTCATCATCAAAACAAGTTCTGATTAGCCTGACCTCAGTTCATTCCAGGCTGAAGGGATGCCCAATGCTGGAACAAGCTGACATTCCTCTTGCAACCAAACACCCAGTAGAGCTGGACGCTCCCAAAATCCTTTGCTCTGAACTACCCACGCCTTGGGCAATGAAAAGGCAGGCAGGCAGGCAATCTGAATGTTTCCTTTTTAGGTCAGTATCTGGACACTGATTTCAAAGGCGCCCATATATTAAAGATAATAGCTTGGTAATCCACTCTGAAAGCTGCCTTCATTATCTTCCTGACAAGTTGGGCTGTAAGGAAGAAACTCTTGAGTTTTCCCCACTCCATACTTTGGATTTCTGGATACTAAATTCAGCCAGAGCCAAAGACGTCTTTGTGCGACCAGCAGTGGCCAAAGGTAAGGGGCAGGGCAAGAAAGAACCAGTTGTACAATGCAAAACTAGTGGTACATTCAAGAAGGGGTGAAGAGTGGGCATGCAGCAAGCTGTAGTGCCTCCACCCCAAGCTGTAGTTCCAGTAACCATGTCTGACCCTGAAGGATTTTAGCTCTTAGCTCCTTCATTGACCTGGTCTCCAAGGTAGTTCTGGTCTCCCATCGGTTTCAGTTCCTATGTGTAAAGTGGCGGTGGCGGGGTCCTGTGGCCTTCTGATGTCATTGCTCCTGATGTGAGGCTGAATTCAACCTCACTGAGTCATGAGGAGCATCATGATGACCAGGCCCCTGCAGCTGCTTAGTGCTTGGCACCCCATGAGAAAGGCAGAGTATCTTGTATCACCTAGTAATAACTCAACCTCCTCAAAATAGGGGAAACAATGACAGAGAGGGTGGAAGGATGGGTTTGGATGGAAAAGATACTAGGAGGAAGGAAGGTGGACTTATAAGGGGATCAGGCCTGAAACACTGTTGAGGCCAAAGGGACCAGAATAAAAATCTGAAAAATTACAACTTTCTTGTCCCTACTTAAAAAGATAGTTTCCCACTCCCCCCTTAAAAATCACCATATTTTAAAAGGTGAGAGGTAGGAGAGACCTGGTCCAGTGGGCTCTCACTCTCATAAGAGGCAGGTTCCCATCAGGCCCTTCACTGACTGTTCTTACCTGCTCAGCTCCTGCCACCTCTGTACCAAGGGGTACACAGAGAGAGACTCTTATGATTTCTACCAGTGTCTCACCTTCCCCACCAAATGCAGCCAAAAAGGAGGAGGAAACCCAAAGACTAAAGTGCAAAGATTTCCATCATAGTGTGCATCATATATAGGGGTGGATCAAAAGAAGGAACAGGTTTGGGTGGATTGACAGATACAGTTGTTCCCAAAGCTATAGCTGTGGGGTGGGAAAAAAGTATCTGCACCAATGCGTTCACCTTTGCCCGGAGGCCATTGAACACATTATCTCTTTTCACAGACATTGCCAAATCTACCTAGGAGGGGCAAATGCTCTGAGCCACATGAGGAGTATCTGAGTCCTAAAAACATGACCCAGAAAGAGAGAAAACTGGCATGATCACCCCAGTGGTAGTGGCTATGGTGAGCAGAGAAGACCTGGAGTTGGAGGGGGAGGGGAGAGAAAGAGGACAAGGTTTTAAATGAATGAGTTTCCTTTTTCAAGAGAAGAGACAGATGAAAAGTCTGAGATGTAATATCTCTCATTTAGAGGAGTCGGTGAAGACTCTGACATCAGAACTAAGTGCTATACGAAGGGAGCTCCTCTGCTTATGGGGAGAGTGAAGATACGGGGTCAGGCGAAGAGGGCGCTGGCGAGAGGAGCCCAGCCACCGCGTCACGGCGTGTAGGCAGGGGGTGGTTGGAACTGATTGATGACCTCATACTCGGCTGGGTACGGCTCATTCTCCTCCATCTCTGACAGCAGCTCCAGCGCCTGCTCCTCTTCTTCGGTGGGATAATGGCGCAGAAGGTTGGCAGCAGTGGCCAGGATGGAGGCCCCTCCTGCTCCTGCCACCAAGTAGAAGCTGACAGCAAAGGTGACATAGACCTGGGAACCGTGGTACTTCTTGTGCTGCTGCTGCTGAGCCAGGATGAGCTCTGAAGCCCAATAGCAGAAGCCAATCACTGTGGCACACTGAAGGACTAGACAGGAAGAGAAAAGAAAAAGTGACAGTTAATGTCTCTTCTGGAGCCCCTAGCCCCTGAGATCTGAGCTGCTGACTAACGGCACTACGCCGTGAGAAGGCAGTGCAGTATGGGACTTGGTGGTCAGGACTGGCATTCCCTCATGAAGAGGAGGGGCGGTAGGTGTGGAAAGCCCTTGATCTCTGCCAGTTAGTCACTGCAGGCAACATTCAGTGTGCAGGAACATTTCTTTGCTCAGCTTTTGTTAGCTCTCTGGTCCTCTCTCCTGCCAGGCAAAAAGGTTACCTGTGAGGATGTGGGCAAAGGCATAGCGGCGGGTGATCTTCAGAGCAGGGTGCTTGGGCCCAAAGACATCAAGAAGAAAGGCAGAGAGGCTGCACAGGATCCCCAAGAAGCAAAAGGCAGCAATGACACGCAGTAGTAGCACCGTTTGGGGATTCATGCAGAAATCTGTTTGGGGAAAAAAATGATTTGAGAATCAGACTCTTATGTCTAGGCTCCCTCCTCAACTTCCCCACAGAGACTTTCAAGGTTGTTTTTCTTTTTCTTTTTTCTTTTCTTTTTTTCTTTTTGGCTAGGCAATGGGGTTAAGTAACTTGCCCAGGGTCACACAGCTAGTAAGTGTTATGTGTCTGAGGCCAAATTTGAACTCAGGTCCTCCTGAATCCAGGGCGGGTGCTCTATCCACTGCGCCACCTAGCTGCCCCGGTTGTTTTTCTTTATGACATGGTTATTGTACTGGCTGTCCCCCATGCCTGGCATGCTCACTCTCCTTTTCTCTACCTCCTGGCCTCCTTCAAATCCCAGTTAAAATCCTACCTTCTATAAGAATTCTTTTCTGATCCATCTTAATTCTGGTAGCTTCCCTCTCTTGATGATTTCCAATTTATCTGGTATATAGCTCGTCTGTATGTTGCTGTTTTCATGTTGTCTCCCCCATTAGATTGTAAGCTCCTTGAGGGCAGGTACTGTCTTTTGCCTTTCTTTGTATTCCCTGTGCTTAGCACAGTGCTTGGCACATAGCAGTTGCTTAATACATGTTTATTGACTCAGTGAATTGAAATCATTTTCCTGGATCTGCTTCCTTCATCTGTATCAATTCATACAAGTCTTCCCAGGTTTCTCTGGAACTATCCCTTTTGTTATTTCTTACATCATGATAACCTGACAGCTGTGAAGTAGCTTAGATTTCTTCCTTAGAGGACTTACTGTTCATTTTTTTGCCCATCAACTCCTCCTTTTACACATGAAGAAACTGAGGCTCAGAACAGGGCAGTGACTGACCCAAAGTCATGCACATAGGTAGTAAGTGGCAGAGCTTATAGACATGTACAAGTATATAAAGTTAACTTCAAGAGGAAGAGAGTGAAAACAGTGGGAAGCTCCCTCCACCCTGTCCCTGCCTGTGCTCTCCTCCTCTGAGAACCTCCTCTTTAAGGATGCCCAGGCCGGCCAGGTCTTCAGTGCTTTCCAGGCTGTACCCCTGACTCTCGAGGCTTTCTCTCCAATGCCTCTGGGCTGGTACCTTCATCTTCTCTGGAGGGCAGGGGCTGGCTTTTCTGCTTATATTTGTATTCCCTGTGCTTAGTACAGTGCCTGGCACATAGGAAGTGCTTATTAAATCCTTGTTGACTTGACTTAACACATCTGAGCTGGGCTTTGAGCCAGGCATTCTACAGGGAGGAGGTGGAAAGGTAAGACACAACATGGGGGACCCCCTGTGCAAAGACAGAGGGTGGAGATGAAATGTCATCAATAATGGACGCTAGCTGGACAGTTTGGATGGAATGGAAAATACAGGATAGAAAGCAAAACAAGGCAAGACTCAAAAGGTAGACAGAAGCCTGACAGTAGAGAGCTTGAAATGCCAGCCTGAAGGCTTTTTAATTTTATCCTTGATAACAGTGAGTCAGACTGGTTTGGGAATAATCAATTTGAATTGTTCTAATTGTCTCTCATCTCACTCTCATATGATAGCCCTTCAGAAGCTTGGAGCTATTATTTTACTCCTAAATCTTTTCTCCAGGCTAATCAGAGAGAACTCTGCCCCAGGCTCTGGTCCAAAGGAAAGCCCCTCAGGTTCCACCCAGGACACATGGAGGACAAAGGTCAATCAATGTCAACCAGAAACCAAAGTTTCTAACAACTACTTGCCTTTCTAATAAGCCTCTCTAAATATTCCAGTGTAGAATCTTTAAAATAAAAAGCAGTCCAAGCCTCCACAAACTGAAATACATGGGATCTTTACAGATGAGGGGATTCTACCACAAGTGGACACCACCCAGCAGATGCAGCAATCAGATTCTCCCCCAAATCAGGAAATCCTTTCACTCCAATTAAAGATTTTTCTTTCAGGCAACAGATGTATTCTTGAAAAGTTGTGTGAAATTCACACAATTCACATTTGTAAATTGAATCCATTTTCCAAATAACTTACTTTATAACTTACAGAAATGGATTTTTAAAAATTTCAACAATCTTTATCAGTGGCTCTTAATGCTTGAGTTAAGTTTTATTGTTCATTCTCTGTCAAATAATTAATAATAATTAGAAAGAAGATAGGGGTAAGATCTAAGAGTAGTAGGAAAGCATCAGAATCTCTGGTTAAAATTCTTATCCTTCTTATATGTGACTAGTTACTTATGAATAGATCTAGTTTGTAAATTCAAATTTTGAATTAACTTTCCTTAAAGCAGGACACTTCTCATATATGAGGTTGGCCAGCTTCCTGTGAACTAAGAATGCTTTTCTGTTGCAACTATGCCCAAAGGGCTATAAAAATGTGCATACCCTTTGACCCAGCAATAGCACTTCTAGGGCTGTATCCCAGAGATCATACAAATGCGAAAAGGGCCCACATGTACAAAACTATTTATAGCAACTCTTTTTGTTATGGCAAAGAATTGGAAATTGAAAGGATGCCCATCAATTGGGGAATGGCTGAACAAGTTGTGGTAGATGAATGTAACAGAATACTATTGTGCTATAAGAAATGCTGAGCAGACAAACTTCAGAAAAACCTGGAAAGCCTTGTATAGACTGATGCTGAGTGAAGTGAGCAGAACCAGGAGAACATTGTACACAGTAACAGCCAAATCATGTGATGACTAACTTGGACAGACTTAACCCTTCTCAGCAATACAAGGATCTAAGACATCTCCAAAGGCCTCATGATGGAAAATGCTATCCACATCCAAAGAAAGAACTATGGAGTTTGAATGCAGATCGAAACATACTATTTGCTATTTTTTTTTCTTCTGTTGTGTTTTGTTTCCTCCTTCTGGTATTTCCTCCTATTGGTTCTAATTCTTACTTACAACATCACTAATGTGAAAATATGTTTAATAGGAATGTATATGTATAGCCTGTATCAGATTGCACGTGATCTTGGGAAGGGAGGTGAGGAGGGAGGGGGAGAAAAAATTAAAACTCAAAAGCTTATGGAAGTGATTTTTGATAAATTAAAATAAATTAATAAAAAGAAAAAAAAAGAATAGTTTTCTGCATTTAAATAAAGTTTTATAGTATTTAAAAATGTTAAAAAAAAAAAACCCAAACCCCAAACCATTTTGTTTCAGCTGTACAAAAATAGGCAGCAGGCCAGAGTTGGTCCTCAGGCTGAAGTCTGCTGACTGCCTTTTACAGCATCATTTCCATATTATGGGCCAGTTCTAAGAGGCAGGCTTAAGCTGGAGTGGTTACACTTTAATCCAGCTGGAAGCAGCTAGGTAGTATAGTTGAATCCAGCCTCAGATGCTTACTAGTTGTGTGACCCTGAGCAAGTCATTTAACCACTGCCTCAGTTTCCTCACCTGTAAAATGAGGACAATAATAGCACCTTCCTCCCAGGGCTGCTGTGAGGATCAAATGAGATAGCAATAACTGTAAAGTGCTCAGCACAGTGTCTGTCACACAGAAAGTGCTATATTCAGGTTAGCATGACCTTCTATCACAGTGACCACATTTCAAATTCCAAAAGGAGAACGAACTTGTGTACAGAGTTGTAGGAGAGAGACGTGGTCAGATCTGTACTTTGGGAAAATTACTTTGGCAGCTGATTGGGGGATGGAGTGAAGGGTCAAGAGATCTGAGGCATGAGAGATGAACCAGAAGGTTACAATATTATTGCAGGCATGTGGTGATAAAGGCCTGGACACCAGGGTGGTGGCAGTGTCAGAGGAAAGAAAGGGGTATACATGAGATGTTAAGAAGGTAGAAATGACAGGAGTTGACAACTGATTGGATGGGGTGAAGTGTGATAGTGAGGGGCTGAAGAGAACACTTAGGTTTTAAGTCTGAGTAACTGGAAAGATAGTGGTTCCCTTGACAGTAATAGGGAAGCTCAAAAGAAGGGAAATTCTTTGGTGGGAAAGCTTCTGAGTTCTGTTTTGAATATGTTGGGTTTAAGACACCTGTGGGACATCTATTCTGAAATGACTAACAGGCAATTGATGATACAGGAGCTCAGGAAAGAGGCTAGGGCTGGATAAGTAGACTTGCAGAGAAATCATCACTGAACCCATGGGAGCTGATGAGGTCACCAAATGAGAGGCTAGGGAGAAAAGAGAAGAGGACCCAGAACACACCCTTGGGAGATGTTACACCTTAGTGGGTGTAACATGAATGAAGATCCAGCAAAAGAGGGCAGCAAGACTTGTTGGAGAAGAGCAAAGAGATATCAGAGTCCCAAAAATCCAGAGAGGAGAGGGCATTCAGAAGACACTGATGATGCACAGAGTCAAATGATGCTGAGGTCAAGATGATAAAGACTAAACAGAGGCAATTAGATTTAACAATTAAGAAATCACTGGTAACTTTGAAAAGAGTAGTTTCAGTTGAACAATGATGTTGGAAGCCAAACTGCAAAGGGTTTCGAAGAGAATGACAAGAGAGGAAGTGGAGGCACCAATTACATAGTTTTCTCAAGTTTAGCCACAAAGGGGAAGAGAGATAAAGAATTACAGTTGGCAGGCATGGTAGGATCTAGTGAGAGTTTTTCAAGGATGGGAGAGCCCTGGGCATGTTTCTAGGTGGCAGTGAAGCAGCCAGTAGATAGGGAGAGACTGATGATTAGAGAAAACAGTGGGGATAATGGTGGGAGCTGGAGAATATAGTAAGGGATGGAATCAAGGGTGCAGGTAGAGGGATTGGCTTGGCAAGCAAAGGGCCATCTCCACATCAAAGGCTGGAGTGAAAGAGGAGATAGTTGAGAACAACGTCAGAAGGAGAAGAGGGAAAGGAGAAGAGGGTGGCCTCAGTGAATTGTCCTGGTTCTTTTGGTAAAGTATGAGGTGAGTACCTCAGCATAGATAAGAGAGAACAGGGAGTGATATGAGAAGTCTGAGGAGAGAAAATATGTTTGGAATAACCACTGTGGTGAGTAAAACAGGGAAACATCTAAGGAAGAGGAAGACTGGCTCCCTGTAACTTGAGGGCCCAGTTGAGATTAG